GTTGTATGAAACGTAAATACTCTTTCGTGTGCATATCCTAGCCTCGTTTCTACTTTATTCAGGTAGTTTGGGGAAAAAGCAGTAGCTTAACAAGCTTAGGATGTTTTCTGGGAAAGAAAGCATATTTTAAAAACAACAGAAATAAATAATTATTGTAGTTCTTTTTATTGCTTTTGATCAAGTAGAAGTACAGAAGTTTCTGTAAAATCTCCTGCCTTTCTGTAGTACATGCGTACATTGTTTTGATGTGTCTAGGTGTGACTCCTCTCACTCTTATAAGAGACTCCCTCCCCCCCCACACACACACATTAATTTTTGATTTGTTAGATATTCATGATTGGCCTTTTTTTTTTTTTTTTTTTGAGAAAAGAAAAGCTGTCCTTATAGTCTTCTGTAGTATAGTGTCCCCTCCATTCTTGATTCTGGAAAGCACCATTTTATTTCCACTTTGATGTTTCATTCATCTTTCTCTCCCTTGGCAGAGTGTAAGCTCTTATCTCTTGGTTCAAGGCTTTATCCTTAGCATCTAGAACAAAAGTAGGCACTTATGATTTATTGGTTGAATTAATTAATGATCCCTTTCTGGTTCTTCTCATTGCTCCAGTAACTTTATTGTTTTAAATACAATAGATTTATTAATGAGGCAGTTTTGTATACATCAGCTTCCTCCTACCCACCCCAGTTTTCTTTTGGTATATGAGCTGTTCAATCTGATACTGACAAGTATCTGGTCAGCAGTGTGGTTGCTGCCATAAAACGGACTTTGTCCCTGCCCTTATGGAACTTAATATCTCTTTAATACCAGAGGCTCAGATTGACATCATTACCTTGTGAATAATCTCTTCTCTCTCCTGTGTTGTGGAAGTAGTACATTTCATTGCCAGGCCTTGTTAAGTGGTGTCCTCATCACACCGAATGAAATGTTTAAAGAAAGCATGCCTAAACGATCTTCTGATTTTATCTGATCCTCTTTTATTTTTCAGTAGTTTTAACCTATCTTGATCTCTTAGTAGGATACAGTTCTTTATTTTACTTTATTTTTTAAAGATTTTATTTATTTATTTATTTGGCAGAGAGAAAGAGAGAAAGCGCACGTGTGCACAAGCAGGGGGAGTGGGAGAGGGAGAAGCAGGCCTCCCACTGAGCAGGGAGCCCGATGTGGGACTCAGTCCCAGGACCCTGGGATCGTGACCTGAGTTGAAGACAGACGCCAACTGAGCCATCCAGGCGTCCCTATTTTACTTTAGTTTTAGAAATTTCTACTAACCTGTGTACAAATACTTTTCAAAAATACTAGGTTTTTAATCCACATTTTTATTCAGATAATTTTGACAAAATCCAAAGCTGTCTGCAGCTCTGTGGAAATTAATGAGTTTTCCTCTTCTCCTTTAGGTAGAGTTTTACTTGCTTAAACATATAAAAGGCTCCAACACTGGGTCTCACGAATGTCTGATGGTCAAAAAATATCACTGGCTTTTGATATTTTAAGACTTTTATTCCCTTTTCCTTTCTTTGGTTTGATTTGTAGATAATATACACCATGGAGTACTTTACCTTCTTCTTCTCACTAGATTATATATTGTATTCTAAAACAGCAGTAAAGCATGTTCAGTCACTTTCTTTTGAACCCCGAGAATGAGCTCTGACCAAATGGCAGCTGGCCCTCGCTTTTTCTTTAGCCAGAATTACATCTGCATTTTCCATTACCTCACTTATATCCTTTTTGCCCTCATTCTTTTTTATATATCTAAAATTCCTTGAACATTCTTTAACGGTAATTTTCTGAAGTTTACTGTAGATCACTTGAGGACTTGTGACATAAAAAGGCTGGGGCTAGGGTTGCATTAATTTCTTTACCCTGTTCATAGTCTTTAAGAGCTTTTACCTTAAAAATAAATAAGTAAAATCTCTTAAAAAAATAATGTGTAGCAACTAGACGGATCTGCATTTTAATCATAAACAGAGTCAGACTCCTCCCCCCCCCCCCCCCCCCCCCCGTTCCAGCTGCTTTGCCAGTGGCATTTCTGCTTGTTGATCTTTCAGTAAAAACATTTTGTAATTTTTTGAGCAAACCTAACAGGAAAAGAATAGTAAAAATCTTAGTAACTGACATTTATTCAGCACTTAATCCTGTATACCCAACTCTGTTTTACATAAATTATCTAATTCTTAACAATTTTATAAGGTAAGTGATACTATTATTATTCATATTTTAATAGTGAAGAAACTGAGACAAGGGAGGTTAAATTGACTTGCTATAAAGATGTGGATTATAACTATTTCATTTATAGTTCAAAGAAAGTATTAGGGAATAATATTAATATTTTGGGAATCTGTATTGAAATTAAAATTTTGAGTTCATTTGTCAGTCTTTCCTATAATTATCTATAGAATTACAGCTTAATAACTGTTACTTCCACTGATAAAATTGAAAAGTGAACTTGTTTTTAATGGCTTTAGGGAAGGAGGGGGAGTGGACTTGGGCATTGTAAGTCGAATCATGCTTTTCTAACTTGGTTATCTTTCATAGACACTAAAAAGACTATAATTTTGTTAGGGTATAATCTTTAACTTATTATTAAGTATATAAAAATCATATTAGTACAGGTTTATAAGTAATTTTGAACATTTTCATAATTTCAGAAGTTTTTATACACTTATTATATTATTACCAGTAGGAGTCCTAAGAAATATAACACTAGAAGAATTAGCATTCTCATATCATGACTCAATAGAGTCAAGTGAGCACTAGACTGAAAATTTGCTTGTTATACTCTACCAGGCTTGGAGCCTGAGGATAAGTTTATTTGTAGATACCTACTGAATTTCAAGGCATTGTCTAATACTGGCATTATTCAAAATCTTAAGTTTTTTTAAAGTCTGTGTCAGAGATGCCAAGTTTCCTAGACATTGATGGTATCTCCCAAATAGAGTCTAAATCATTCTTAGGATAAGTGTCATTTCATTTATTAAAAATAACTGAATCCTTTTGTAACCCAGCTCCAAGGTTACAGTTCAGTCTTATTGAAGGTAGGACAACCATGTCTTTATTCCTAGGTAACCTGTGTCCACAAGTGACCTATTTAGTCTCTCAGAAGATCCTTATTTGGCTGAAATTCCTACCATGAATATTCTCACCTTAATTTTTCTTTATTTTGTCTTATGATCCGGTTTCTTAGGGCTGCTAGGTTTGCAAATGAAGATCATAGATCAAAGTAATTTTATGTCTGAAAACTTGGGTAGTATTTCTTTTTAACACATTTATTGATCATCTACTCTATGCAAGGCACCACGGTAAGTGTGGCAGAAAGTACATAGATGAATAGTAATAATCTGATAGCCAGAGTCTACAGAGTCCTTACTTATGTCAAGGATTATTATTCTAAATGGTTACCACATGTATTTATTTACATAAATTTTCATTTGATTTTCATAGTAACCACATAAGCTAGGTACTGTTTGTATCCTCATTTTATAGGTAAGAAAACAGAGTATAAAGACCACCCGAGGTAACACAGCTAGTAAACTGGTAGAGTTAGGCCACAGACCCAAGCAGTGCTGACTTTAGAAACTACCTTTAGCCGTCATATAATTCTGCTGCTTATTCCCTGCTCTGTAGGAACTCCAGAACAGAGCTATATCATGTCTGTAAAGGAGAACAGAGTGGGCCCAGTGGCCAGGACAGTTTAGCATTCAGCCCAGTTTTCTAGTTTGTATGTGGACTTTCACATCATTCTAGTTTTAATAATATAATATTCCTTTTCTGTGAAAATTCTGTAAGACTTTCCTTTGATAGCGTTTTGGATGTTTAAGTGAAATGCTGTCGTTCTGTCAATAAATGGAATGCCTTAGGAAAATTTTATTCAGTTAAGATTTGATATAACAAGTAGATGCCTAATTTATCCCAGAAATCTTTTTTTTTTAATAAGATTTTTAAGATTTGTTTATTTGAGAGAGGGGGAGAGCATGAGCAGAGGAGAGGGGCAGAGAGAGAGGGAAAAGCAGGCTCCTGGCTGAGCAGGGAGCCCAATGCGGGACTCAGTGCCAGGACCCTGGGATCATGACTTGAGCCAAAGGCAGATGCTGAACTGACTAAGCCACCTGGGTGCCCCATCCCAGAAATCTTACACCAGATTTTTTGTTGTAATGGGGGTGATAGGAGGGACTTCAAAACCATTTGAAGATGACCATAAGTAAAACAAAGAATAATAATACTATAAGGTTTTGATGTTCTCTTTCCTTCTTTCACCAGAATTTTGATTTTAACATGTGACAGGAAAAACATTGGTTTAAGTTGGTAGGCATGAGTTGTTCAAATGGTCATCTTCAGTTCTGATTGGGTTTTTCTTTTTGCTTGAAGCAAAAGTCGTGAGATCTCTCTAAAATTTTAGTTCGCGAATGAATTAAGGGAAGGTCATCTGTAACCAATGAACATGTTTCTGGAAGGAAATTGTTCCAGAAGGTTGGTAATAAAGTTGTTAGATCCAAAGGTGAGTAAATGACACACACACCATAAGATGGAATAAGCAAATTGGACCAGCCAAACCCCTGTGGATTCTGCTTTGAAGCTATTGAATCTCAGTTCTTTGAAATTGTGCTAGTCCCACCCGTCAGTATGTGGTAATGCTTGTAAAGCTCTCCAAGCTTTCTGACTTTTGAATAGCAGATTTGGGGGTAGGGTGAGCAGAGAATTAATAAACTTAGTTATAATTCAGATCTGAAAATCTTTGGCTTATTAAATTTTTGTAATATCAGTATTTTGCTGATACAACAAAACATGCATTTCAGGAAATTTTGATGTTCAACAAATCATATGAAGATGATATTGAAAAAATCACTTGTATATTTCTATTTTTGTAAATTGACTTTAAATATTGCATACATTATTTTGTTTTAAAATATGTATTTTAATACCGTGGGTCACTTAATCCTTTCGGGAAATCGGCATAAAATATGTTGTCAAGAATTCAGATCTAATCATTTCATGTGAAAGGCACAAATTCAATTTGAAATAACTTTTATTCAATGCAAAATATATTTTCTGTTGGCAAAACTAGAGTTTTCTCTAATTTCCTGTCTATATTTTTATAAATAAAATGTGTTACTTGGCTTGAAATCTTAATTATTTTTCTATTGGAAGTTAGAGCAATCTCAAAGTTTTTAAATAAGTTGTTCTTGAACATGTATTCTGTTTTGATTTAAAATAAAGCTAAGATTTGTTATACATTGTGGCAAATATTTACATTTTATAAAACAAACTTTGCCTGTATTTAATCAATATAGTTTTTAAAATAACTGGGGTTATGGGTACAAATAACCTTCTGCAGTACATTGAGGAAGATGAAACTACATTTATAAATCCCCTTTTACAGTTATGGTAACATTCATTTTAAAAAATATATCTGTAGCAATGAGCTGTGCAAAACAATATACATGTAACATTTACATTTTTAGGAACTGAAAAATACAGAGTTCTATGTCATTTAAGCTGGAGACTGTCTCTCTTTCAGTCAATAGGCTTGATCATCATCTGAACTGCTCTCAAGGAGTATGACCCGCCTCGATATTCAGCCCAAAAAATCCCATCTTGGTACTTGCTTCTGTAATGGCCTCCTCTGTACCATACTCCATTTAGGTTAGAATGTGCACAGGCGTTGTACCACCATCCTCCTTTATGAAAGTGGGCACAGTTTCCTTTGAGGAGAAAAAGAGAGATATCAAAGTAAAGCGTTCTTCTAAGTGTGGCACTCTGCAAACCATCAAAAACTTATGCTACCTTTGGAACGATTTGAGTTTTTCTTATTGGTTTCAGTTACCTTTATCTTTGTGGATTTGTTTCCTCATTCATTCTGTTACTGTTCCTGAAGTATCAACTACTTGAAATATCACTTGAATTGCCTTTATCTTGCCCTTTGCTTGTTTACTACATGCTTTTCTTTATTAAGTGATTTAGTTTTCTGGGTAGCAGGGTAAATAAAACACAAACGGCATTTGTGAGAAGGAGAGATTGGAGAGATTGGGAAGGAAAGATACTGAGTTGCTAAAAGTAAATTTGGGAAAATTGAATTCTTAAAATAGCACAAAATAATATAAAATAGAATAGCACTCAGGTGGTCAAATGTGTTTCTGTAAATATGGTGAATACTTTGCTTATATCTCTTCCTTTTTTCCTCTTTTGCCATTGTGAGGTTAACGTAGAGACCTGTGTGCTCCTGGCCAGGATACAGCTGAACAGAAAAATAGATCGGTTTTCAGGAGGGATATCTCTTGATCAGGGCCACAAACCTGGCAAAAGCAGGGCTTCTAGGTGGCTCAGTCAGTTAAGCGCCTGCCTTTGGCTCAGATCTTGATCCCAGCGTCCTGGGATGGGGTCCTGCATCCGGCCCCTTGCTCAGTGGGAAGCCTGCTTCTCCTCCCCCTCTGCCTGCAGCTTCCCCTGCTTGTGCACTCTCTCTCTCTCTCTCTCTCTCTCTCTCTCTCTCTCTCTCACAAATAAATAAAATGTTTTTTTTAAAAAGGTAGAAGTATATGAAAATTAATGTTGAGGCTTTTTTTTAAGATTTTATTTATTAGAGAGGGACTGCGTGCACACGAGCCGGAGGGGAAGCAGGCTCCCTACAGGGGGCTCCATCCCAGGACCCCGGGATCATGACCTGAGCTGAAGGCAGATGCTTAACGACTGAGCCACCCAGGCACTTCAATGTTAAGAGTTACTATATCTGGATTGTCTAACTGATTTTAAAGAGGATATTAATTTCCCCTCTGAATAAAGCTTTTTTGCTCTTCCTACCATATGTTCCAGTTCTACTGTTCCTTCTCATGTGGATACTAAGAAATGCCTTTTTCAAAGCTGTGTCCCCAAATGGCTGGCCTCCTTCACTCCCTTCAGGTCTTTATTCAAATGTTACCTTCTCAAAGTAACCTTTCTCAGCCACTCTGTATAAAATAGCACCCATCTAACCCCCAGCTGCTCATCACTCATTTTTCCCTCACTGGTTTTATTTTTATTAGAGTACTTGTCACCACCTGACAAATCATTTTGTCTCCTAGAGGGTAAGCTCTAGAAGGGCAGGAACTTTTTTCGTTGCTGTATACTTAGCACCTACAACGGTGCCTGGCACGTGGTAGGTGTTTAGTTAGTAGTTGTTATGAATTTTAGGCATTAGAGAATTTTCTTGCCAGGTGAATGAGCTTTTGCTTTGTTCCCCACCCCCAGGTTAGAATGATAGAACTTTGCTTTTCACAGAGTTCATTCACACTTTGGGATTGCCTTATAGAAGAGATACTGACCTTTCAGCAGCTTATGTAATCTATGACTGAGTCCAAAATTACCTTTATGGAAAGATTTTTAGTAGCATATCCTTTAATAGCAAGGCTCTCTGTAATGCATAGCAGTGGTTCTACAAAGAATGCACATCAGTTTTTTCTTACTCACCTGCATACATATCTTTATCTCTGTCCAGTGTGGTGAACTGTTTACCATTATGCCACATCATGGAGTCCCCTGCATTTCCCTGGTAAGTTCCCAGACGCAGTCTAAAGAATTCACTTTCAGGTTCCAGGCGAAAGCTGCTATATTCTGCGTAGACTTTTTTGTCACTCCAGTCTTCTAATTCAATCAACAACTTATAATTATCTTGATTGCTAAGCATATAGATATTTTCCAGTCCAAGCCAATATTCTCCATCAATGTTTCCAAACCCTTTCTGTTAATAGACAGCATGAGGACATAAATAAGTGTAGAGATAGTAAACTTTTTTACAGATAAGTTTTAAATCTTTGATAACATAACTCTTCACCATTTAAGTGGTAATATGAACTTCCCTTTTAATAGGTCACCTGATCTTTATAAGCCCTACATAGTCACTTTGTTTTGTTTTGCTTTCTCTTAGTTTGTCTGTGTTTATTTGCACAGCTAGCTTCAAACTTTATGGATAAGAAAAAGGCAAAAGAGAATGAAAATTTTTCCTAGCTACTAAAAACATTAACTAGTGAACTACCCAAATCCCTGAAAAAGATTCCTGATCTCTCTCATACACAAAGAGCCAAATTTTTTTTTCTGAAAGTATATATGTAACTGTCCCCCACCCCGATAGTCAAACAAAAAGGGTAGCTAACATTATTATGATCACTCAATAAAAATGATAGTACTCTGTTGTTAAAACAAATTGTCTTCTTTAGCTCTGTTATAATTAAATATGAGAAGATATAATAGTAATCTTCAGAGTTCCACCTTGGAAAAATTGCAGACTGTTTTTAAAACAATCAGTGAGCTCTCCTATTTCAGTAAGCATTCACCACAGCAGGTGTGCAGCACAATGTAAGGCTTGGTAAACCTGATCTTAACACTGTGTTTTCAAGAAGGTTATGTTGTAGGACTGTTTCCCCCAGTTACTTGTTTAGAAATTTATAACTTTTGACATGGGTGTATTAATGCCTCATTTTTAACTGCCAGTAAAATGTCACCTAAAAGTGAGTAATCATGCGACTTACACAATTTTGAATGAAGAATTGACCGTCTAGAAAATACAGTCTCCCCCATCTGCCATCCCTAAACTACCACTCATAAAATTAGCATGTAAACATCAAAATTATTAACAAAAACTAGTTGCTTACTTTTCCAACATTACTACAGCATGGCTCTGGTCCTGTATGACAGTCCAGGTGTACGTTACCTCCCAGAAGCACCAGTGTCTGGTGTTAGCAGTTTAAAACACGAGGGGATGATTATCAGAGGTAATCAGTCCTAGAGAAAGGGTCATTTTTTGAAGTTCTATAGTTCATAGTATTGCTTAAATACAGTTGCTGATGGGTACAAACATGGTCATAAACAAAAAAGCAGCTGTCTTTTTAGAAAATGGAATCAGCAGTAGTCTTTGCTAAGAATTAAATATATGTAAAAATCATCCAGACTGAAAAGGGGCCGTTTAAAGGGTATCTTCGGTTTCCCTTTTACCTTTTAATTTTGACCTTAAAACCGGAGATGAGAATTACCTTTTTGACAAAGGTAGATAATGAAAAATATATGGGTAATTATTTTTAAACTGTTATTTATTGCACGGAATGGCTACTCTGCAAGAGCTATATGTTCCACCTCTGAGGTCTCAATCACTGATTTACCTTATAATTTTCCCAATTTCTGAAGAAGTTGACAGAGCCATCTGTTCTTTTCTGAATAACAGTCCAACCCCCAGGATCCAAACTGTTCTCACACCATAACTGTATTGGTCCATTGCTGTTTTCAGGTTTAATCATATAAATCCCACTGACTGAATGTCCAGCTTCTTTTGCATGCTGACAGTCTTTGAATGGTCCTATAATTAAAATATCATTGATTACCAGGAAACTTAATAGGAACAGAGCCATATCAAAATAGTTTTTAATCAAAAGTCTTACCTTTGTATCTTTCTTTACAGATACCACTTTTTATCTATTATATACACCACACCATAAAAGGTAAACTAAATAAAAGGATTAGCCCAGTCCCACTATATGGAAAATTAACTTGTTTCATTTTCCACTCTTCTTGTGAGTTTTTGTCCATATACATACATTTTTATGTTGTCATAATTCTGACACACATAGAAAATTGGATTCTGTCTTTTAACAGAAATTTCCGTGAACTACAGTCTTCATTCTGGCACTTGTAGTAGCTGTAATCTAAATTTCTAACATTGAGGGGCGCCTGGGTAGCTCAGTCGTTAAGTGTCTGCCTTCGGTTCAGGTCGTGATCCCAGGGTTCTGGGATCAAGCCCTGCATCGGGCTCCCTGCTCCGCAGGAAGCCTGCTTCTCCCTGTGCCACTCCCCCTGCTTGTGTTCCCTCTCTCGCTGCTTCTCTCTAGCAAGTAAATAAATTTTTAACATTGATACATCACTGTTTATTCCTTTGTCATTGGATATTGAGGTTTCATCTGCTTTTTACTATTATAAAAGTACACAAAGTGTTGTCTTATTGGCTTCAGGTTTTCAAATAATTAACTTATAAAAATGCTGTGGGATTGATCTACTGGATCAAGAGAGCGTGAACACTTTTAATAGCTCTTCATAGTGCCCAGTGTACAGTTTCCAAAATTTGATTTCAGTGGAACACACTAGTCCCTTGAGGTACTTAGTGAAAACGGCCTACCATGGTCAAATAAGTTTTATTATTGCTAAGTATTATATTACCCTTTTGGAAACCCACAGTGTACATGCACGTATGAAAGATTAAGAAGCCCTGAAACAAACCAGAGTTCCCCAAACTTACAGAATCTGTTAGCTTTTTCCCCCATTCAGCAGTCCATAAGAATACATTTCAGGAATGTTGGCAAAATGCCTTTCTAAAGAGTTGTATCAATTTATATGACTAATAGTAATTTTCTTATTTAGTCTACACAATGACCCTGTGATAGTTTACAGATGTTCTATAGATGAAACAGTTAACTAGTCGAAGGTCCTTAATCTTAGAAGGTAATAAACCCTAGACTTAAATCCATTTCTTTCTAATCCCAGGGTCCATGCTCTGAGCTGCTGGCTACATTTGCTCTTATGTTGTTTTCATAGTTTTATGGATTCCCTCCCTATTTTTTAATACATGAGTAAGTTCTTCATATCTTCTAAAATGATAAAACATTTTGTGAAATCTTTTGTAGAGGATCTGACCCTTGAACTTGTGATTTCCACATTTTTGGCTCTAAAGAAAGATCGCTTCTAAGTTTTACTGAACATTCTTTAGTTGCACCATTCTTCAGTGTTTTGATCCTTTAGTTTTTTATAAGCATGTGAAAGTATTAAGTGATTCAGAAATAAGAATTATCCCACAGATCTTTTAGAACAACAAAAAAAGTGTAGAAATTCCAGTTGTCAGATTTTATATTTTACTCGAAATACTTAAATTTTGACATGTGCAACTTTTAGAATTATGTGAAAATAGAGTTTAGTCAAGTAAAGCTCATTCAAGAAAATCCTCACTATATTGATAATAGGATTGATGAAATTTTGAGAAATATGTTATCTATACTGTGCCAATATATACAGGATCCCTTTTGGGCTAATTGGGGAAGGATTCATCTCATTAAATAAATAGTTATACAATTGCATCATTAGAAGGGGGTCTTAGAGACTGAACTCTTTCCTCTAGATTGCTCCTTGAGGATGGAGACGACTTTTGTTTTTCTTCTGACTTCACATTATCAGTGTTTTACGGGCTATCAGTCATTTTTTTAATTTAAATTTAATTAACTAACATATAGTGTTATTGTTTCAGGGGTACAGGTCTGTGATTCATCAGTCTTACACAACACCCCAGTGTCCATCACCCAGCCACCCCATCCCCCCTCCCCCCCCCCCTCCAGCAACCCTCAGTCTTGCTTCCTAAGATTACTAGTCTCTCATGGTCTGTCTCCCTCTCTGGTTTTGTCTTTTTTCATTTTGTCCTCTCTTCCCCTGTGTTCCTTTGCCTTGTTTCTTAAATTCCGCATATCAGTGAAATAAGATAATTGTCTTTCTCTGATTGACTAATTTTGCTTAGCATAATACCCTCTAGTTCCATCTACATCGTTGCAAATGGCAAGATTTCATTTTTTTCTATCAATCATTTTTTTTAAGTAAATGAATTAACTTGCCTTCACATTTTAAATACAAGGAAATTGAAAACCACACACAAAATCAAGAGATGATCTATTTCTCTAGCCCACATTTTAATGTTTTGTTGGTATTTCTCTGTTTCAGACTTTTTAAAATTCTAATACAATGACTAAACACTACACAATAGTAAAAAATTTGAGAAACTGTAAAGACTTAATGCTCTCTTTCTTGGGTCACATTTATTTTAGGTATTGAATTTTTTAGTTCTAGAGTTTCAGTTTGATTTCTTTTTTTTTTTTAAAGTAGACTCCATGCCCAGCATGGAGCCCAACACAGGGCTTGAATTCACAACCCTGAAATCGAGACCTGAGCTGAGATCAAGTCAGGTGCTTAACTGACGGAGCCACCCAGGCGCCCCTCAGTTTGATTCTTTTTTAATAGTTTTTATTTCTCTTCTGCAGTTTCCAGTCTTGCGTTCATTATGAACGTATCCTTTAAGCTATAATGACTACTTAAAAAAATTCTTGTCCCTTCTGTTTCTAGTTTTCTAAGGGTTTTTATCATGATGGACTTTGAATTTTGTCAAAAGCTTTTTATTTATCTACTGAGCTAATAGGGTTTTCTTTTTTTGTTTGTTAATAGGTAAATTCTGTTGATTATTTTTTGATGTTAAGCCAACCTTGTATTCCTGGGATAACCTTGACTTGGTCATAGTGTATTATTGTTCTTAAGTATTGCTAGATTTGCTAAAATTTTGTTGAGAATTTATACTTCTGTATTCATGAGGATATTGGTTAGTCTGGGAAAGCTTATAAATAAGCTGTGATAAATATAAAAATAACATTTTGATATGATAAAAATAACAAACGATGATAAAAATAACATTTTGAGCTTATCAGACTGGCCATAAATTAGATCACATTCCATTAAAATTCAACGTGAATTATTTTTTATTATCTACCTTATCAGTTACTGAATCAAATTACAAAGTATTCAGAACCTTTAACACAGTACTTGGCAGAGTAGTCGTCATCAGTAACTCAGTTGCCTTCTTTTCTCCTTTGTTGCTGTCCCTGACACACAGCAGTAGCTCCTTTAGTAAATATATGCTTATTTAATAAATTTAATATGGCTAATCAAAGATGAATGTACAGTCATTTCTGTTGTAGAAAATAGCGTATTCCTGAAAACCCTCATGTTCTGTAAAATCTTGCACCAAAAATAACAGCTGATGTTAGCTGTTAAATACTTTGTATTTGGCTGTTGACCTTTGTGGCACAAAACGTTAATGTAGCTTGGAAAAACTCCAAATGAACCAGTATGACCTCTTTGTTTTACTGATATTCTTCTTTTTTACCAATCCCATTATAAGCTACTAAACATTTCAGAAACGTACAGTGTAGTCAAGTCAGAGAAGGATAGAAAGGTTGTAGTTCAGATAGGATGAAATTTACAGAATTTTAATTTTATGCGTGGGAGTGAAATAGAAGGAAAAGTGAAGTCTAATTTCCAGGTCCATTCTTAGATTACTTTGTGTAATTCATGGTAATGTAGGCATTTGTTTCCTCATACAACTCCTCATGGCAAAGACTGTATCTTTTGGTTGTCTACCTATCCACACAGGTGAGGCCCACTTAGACACACAAATATTTGTTGAACTAAATGATTCCTGGTAGCCACCGTGGTTTCCAGAATTTCCTCCATTGTACATTATTTTTTCCAGATGTGTCTTTTCTGCATCTACAATAGGCTAGAAAATTTTAGGCTCAAGGGGTAAAGAAACAACCATGGAGTCAAGTGGGAAGTGGGGGAAGTGGCAAGTAAAGAGAGAAGTGCATGACAATATGACAGGTATTTTGATAGAGTTCTGCAGGGCACATGGAAACACGGGCCAGAAATAGCTAACCCAGATTGGCAGAAAAGAGATCAAAGTCTACCTATATGTAAGCTGAATCTTGAAGACTGAAGAGGAGTTAGGCTTAGTGGGGGTCAGGAGTCTGATCACGGCCACACACGAGTCACCTGAGCTAAGGGAGGGAATCAGAAGAGAGCTTGATGTTACAGAGGAGCTACAAGTCTAATACCTCTGAAATGTAAATGGCTAAGGGCCGTACTTGGAGCCCTTGAGATTGGCTCTAGAGTTCAAACTGATTTTCTTCAGTGTAGCCAGACTTTTTCTAAGTTGTCACTTCCAGAATAGTCAAGGGTATCTGAGGAACATTGCTCTTATTTTAAACTCTATTGTAGTTAATGCACACGTGAAGTAGTCTTGTTGGAATCCACATAAATATTTCTCTCATTTCAGAAATTTGCTTGTTCTATAAATGTCACCTTTATATTGTTTATTTTATGAATGTCACCCTTGCTCTGTACTCATTCGACTATAGTTTTGACAATTTACATTTTATATTTAAGTATATATTCAGCAGTTGGACTTTCATTAGGTTATGTGAATTGCTGTAAAATATTTAGAAACATCAAGGTTTTGAATGTTAACAAAGTATTTGTAAAATAGCATTTGTTTTCTGCTATTTAAAAGGCCCTTGGATATTTAAGCAAATTGGAAAGTGCTGGGCTTTCTAAATCCTGCTTTCCTTTGATAAGACTTCATTTTAGGCACATTTAAAATGATCTTTAATTTTCAACTCATTTGTTTGTGGTGGGCTTCATATTTGCAGTTTGGATGCCTGTTAGACTTAGTTGATCAAAAAGCTTAGGAATATTTAGTTGAAATCCTTTTCCAGAACA